CTTGACAATTTTACAAAAAAACAAAGAATAAAGCATCTCATCTCACTCCCAATCATACACAAATGCACTCAATCAATGCACATTTCCGAAGATATAACACTTAGATTTTAAAATGATTGATTACGGTGATCGCTAAAACGATTTAACATTCGTTTTGGCTTTAATAAATACGAGGATCAGTTCGATTATATATTTAATTAAATAATTAATTAAAAATACTAATTAATTATATTGAATTAAAAATATATTTTTAGATTTACAAATTTGAATACTATATAATTTTAAAAAGTAGGGTACTCGTTAGGGAAAGTGGTAAGGCCCTCACCAGTTTTCCTTACATAGCATTTAGTAGCAATTGAAAAAAGAGAAACAATTTACAATAATTATTGTAGAATAAAATCAGAGTTTAGGTCAACAGACATATAAAATTTCTTTTAGTACATTAAATTAAATTTTTTTTAAAAAGTAATTTAATAATTAAAAAAATTGAATTATTATAATTTATAATGCAATAATAATTTAAAACAAAAAATAAATATACATATGAATAAACTACAATACGTAAAGAAAAAAAAGTAAAACTTCAACCAAGCAAGCGTTAGCGAGCGAGGAATATATCTCTAGTTCTTATTATATTAAGTTCTAAAACGACCGACACCGACGGAAAAAAACAAAATTTTTCGTTTCCTTTTATAAATTATTTACAGTTTTCCTTTAAAATTTACAATCAAATGCCTTACATACATGTCTATTCGAAAAAAATGACAAATTTTTTTTTGCGCGTTTTTTTGCAATTTTTTATTTTTTTTCGCTAATAGCACATAAAATAGGTCACTATTTTAAATAGAATGAAAAAATTATATTTTTTAGAAAGTTATGGAGATTTTTATTTTCCGTTATAGGGTAACTGTGCTTTTTTTGTATATGCTAACTTTGCAAAGCTCAATTTAACCTCAAAAATACATCAAATGTTGTTATTCCAATTGTAGATAAAAGTTTAATTATTAAATTTTACTTAATCATTAAACTCGAGATTAGTTTGGCCATTTTTTTATTTAAAACATCCATTTAAAAAATAATGGCAAATGCATGTGTTACTGTTAAAATTTCGGTATTTCTGTGCGGTAATTACTAACAAAACGGCAATTACTGTGCCGGCATTACTGTTAAAATCGAGCTGCATGTCGAGCTGCGCATGTCAGAAGAATTCCCGTGTCGAAGTTCCTCGAGAGCGAGAGCTAAGGTTTCTTTTAAATACGAAATTCTTGTCTTTTTCGTTCATTTTTCTTTTCTTCACTATCCATTTTTCTTTTTACTTAACTATTTTGATTACACACGACTAAAAATTAACTAAAGTTAACTAGAAATTAATTAATTAAGCTGTCTATGAGAATGGAGGTTAGAGAAACGTCAACAAAAAGATAAGGTTACCTTTGCGGCGAGTTGCGCAGTTAACGTATTTAAAAATGACAGTAATGCCAACAAGCAGTGAAATTATTGCTGGTAATACAGTTATAAAAAATATTAATTATAAATAAATAATATAAAGATAAATTAGTATTTTTTTATAACATTGAAGCATACTTAATTAAGTAATAACACTGAATTGTGTATATTATTGAAAATATTGAAAATATTAACGCTTCCGAATAAGTGTTCACGGCAGCCATATTTGATAATTTCATGGAATTCAATCATAATCAATTTTAAATATAAATAATTAAATAACCAATTAATGAAATGCACATTTTTATTGACTATTCCATTAAGTAAAATTTATAATAAATTTTGTAATCATTTTGAAAAAAAATATATTTATAAATTATATATAATAATAATTTTTTTAAAATGACAGTAATACCATCACGCACAGCAATACCCACAGTTACCCTATCCTTTCCTACTTATTATATTAAGTTCTAAAACGCCTTACATACATGTCAATTCGAAAAAAATGCCAAATTTTTTTTGGCGTGATTTTAAGCAACAAAATTATTTTGCAATTTTTTTCCGCTAATTCCACATAAAATACGTCACTATTTTAAATAGAGCGAAAAAATTTCATTTTTTTGAAAGTTATGGCGATTTTTATTTTCCGTCATATCCTTTCCTTCTTATTATATTAGGTTCTAGAACGACCGACACCCACCGACACCAAAACAAAAATTTTTGTTTCCTTTTATAAATTATTTACAGTTATCCTTCAAAATTTAAAATCACATACTATACATACATGTCTATTCGAAAAAAATGCCAAATTTTTTTTGGCGTTATTTTAAGCAACAAAATTATTTTGCAATTTTTTTTCCGCTAATTCCACATAAAATACGTCACTATTTTAAATAGAGCAAAAAAATTTCATTTTTTTGAAAGTTATGGCGATTTTTATTTTCCGCATATCCTTTCCTTCTTATTATATTAAGTTCTAAATCGACCGACACCAAAACAAAAATTTTAGTTTCCTTTTATAAATTATTTACAGTTATCTTTCAAAATTTAAAATCACATGCCTTATGTACATGACTGTTCGAAAAAATGCCAAATTTTATTTGGCGTGTTTTTTTGCAATAAAATTTTCTTGCAGTTTTTTATTTTTTTCCGCTATTTGCACATAAAATACGTTATTACTTTAAATAGTGCAATAAAATTTCATTTTTTTGAAAGTTATGGCGATTTTTATTTTCCGTCATATCCTTCCCTTCTTATTATATTAAGTTCTAAAACGACCGACACCCACCGACACCAAAACAAAAATTTTTGTTTCCTTTTATAAATTATTTACTGTTATCCTTCAAAATTTAAAATCACATACTATACATACATGTCTATTCGAAAAAAATGCCAAATTTTTTTTGGCGTTATTTTAAGCAACAAAATTATTTTGCAATTTTTTTTCCGCTAATTCCAAATAAAATACGTCACTATTTTAAATAGAGCAAAAAAATTTCATTTTTTTGAAAGTTATGGCGATTTTTATTTTCCGCATATCCTTTCCTTCTTATTATATTAAGTTCTAAATCGACCAACACCGACCGACACCAAAACAAAAATTTTAGTTTCCTTTTATAAATTATTTACAGTTATCTTTCAAAATTTAAAATCACATGCCTTATGTACATGACTGTTCGAAAAAATTGCCAAGTTTTTTTTCGCGTTGTTTTGCAATAAAATTTTTTTTTTCGCAAATAGCACATAAAATGTTTTTAAACTATGAAATAAATTAAGTACGATATGAATTTGATAATATGTGAGCATAGAGAAGTGTTAAAATCAATTAAAAAATCAATAAAATAATATTTTAATAATTATAAAAAAACGTCTATCTTCTTTTTGTCATCGTGTCCTCAAATTTATTTTAAAGAAGAACATTTTTAAAAATGTAAGTAACGCATAAAAACAATTTCTAGGATATGTAAATTATTCGTTTTGTATAGCTTTTATATGAAAATTATTTAAATTTGTAATTACTAGAAAAAATTTTATTAAGCGGAGAAGTGCTCGTTGATCTTGCGTTTTGTGATTTTTGACATATTTTAGAACGAAACTCACGAAAAAAAATTGTTTTTCAACATTTCAATATTATATTTTAATTAAATAAAAAAGTTTCGCCAAAAACGCCAAGTGGATTTTTTTGATTTAACGTTTATTTTCATTCTAGTACCACCCAGAGACATAATCCACTGGAAAATTTGAGTTACCTTAAAATTTTTTTTAAATTCACTCCAGAGCTCGGTGAAATAAGTTCGTAAACTTTGTAAAGGATTTTGTCTGTCTCCGTTGGCTCAGATGCTTAAGGCGTAGAGTTTGAACCCAATGTATCGCGGAGTCAATCCCATGTCCGGGTGGATTTTTCCCTTCCTGGTTTCTATATAAACGTGTACAAATAAAACAAAAATCAAAATAAAGTCGAAATTGAAGTAAGATAATAAATAACACAGCCCCACAAAAAAAAAGTGTCATGTACTATTGACCGGAATACCCTAACCCTATGTATTTTGACGCGCTGAACACGAATCCGAAGTCCGTTTTGCTCCATTACGTCAGGATTTTTTTCTAACCTCAAAAAACATGTCGGATTTTGAGAAGTAGGCGATTTTTTAAAAAATTGATGTATTAACTTCAAACTTGGTATCTGGGGGTTTTTTGTGTCGCTGATTACGAATCTGAAGTTAGATTTTCAAAATGAAAAATGGCAGATCCAATAAGGCGGACGAATTTTGAAAAAATTTTAAGATTTACTTCAAATTTTTGATTTTGTAAATCTAACTTCAGATTCGTAATCAGCGACACAAAAAACCCCCAGATACCAAGTTTGAAGTTAATACATCAATTTTTAAAAAAATCGCCTACTTCTCAAAATCCGACATGTTTTTTGAGGTTAGAAAAAAATCCTGACGTGATGGAGCAAAACGGACTTCGGATTCGTTGTCAGCGCGTCAAAATAAATAGGGTAAGGGTATTCCGGTCAAAAGTACATGACATTTTTTTTGTGGGGCTGTGTAATTAATGTGTTTTAACTTAAAAAAAATTCTGATGAAAAAAAAATCTCTAAGTCCTAAAGACGTCTTTTTTAGATGTCTTTTAGACATCCTTTTCGGATGTCTTTTAGACGGTCTTCTGGTCAGACATAGAACGTCTTAAAGAAGTCCTTTGTATGTCTTTATGATGTCTTCGAGACATTATCAGGATGTCCGCGGACAAAAAAGACGTCTTTTAGACGTCCCGGTGCCCACTGGAAAGTTACAAGATTTGTGACCAGTAGGCTGCACGGCGTAAAATCAAAGATACAATATATTTAAAAAAATTTTTTTTATAAAGCTTTTATTGTGTACTTTAAGGTGTGCTATACTTTAAGGTATTTAAGGTATAAGGTATTTAATTCAATAAACTTTACCAGTTTTTTAAAAATTTCTGAAAAAATGCATTTTTCACGAGTTTCCCCACTTAATATACAATTTGACAATTGTTTTTAACACAAAATAAAATTTTTTTTGTTTCAGCTACAGGACTTAGTGTAAGTACTGATTCAATTAAAAGATCATGTCTTCGCAAAACATCGTCTAAAGAAAAATGTCATCTACATCGTAGTTCATCAAGAAAAAACAAAGAGAATGGTGTAAAAATTCGAGCTATAGAAACCTGCAAATCTCATTCTCTAGAAACTATAAAATTAAGTTCAGCTAGTGTATTAGTGAACCAACAATCAGAAGGCATTGCCAAAAAGGAAGATGCTACAACAGAAAAAAAATATAATTCTTTAGAACGAAATATTACTGTAGGACCTCAAGATTGTACAGAAATAGATGTACAAACTTTTCATGTTACCTTAACATACAAACCACGAATTTAAAAATTACAATCGATAACAAGAAGACAATAAATTATCCTTTTGTCTTGTTACATAGTACTGTTACACTCAATTTCTCTATTTAAACATTTCTAAAATAAACATTACAAAACTAAGATCTTAAAATATAGTAAATTTTTTTAAAAAATCTCTTAAAGGTTAAAATGTCATGATGAAAGAGTAAGCTTGCGGTTGATGCATTTTGTTGCATACATTATAATATATGATAAAATTAAAGTGCAATAATAAAATGTGAATTGAACAACTGTGAAAAGAATCATGAATTATACGGAACATACTTTGACGATCGCTACATTTTTATTGTAATTTACTCGTAATAATGCACCAGAATATCTTATTTTATCTTAGATAGAGCATCAAATTCCAAAGATAATTAATTAATTTAAACGAATGTAAGATGTGAAAAGAGTAAAAGTTTTTTAACCCTCACGTGCCTGGGTTCACTTTTTAACGTGAGTGCCTCTGCTGGGTCCTAGAGACCCAGCTACTTAAATTCTATAAACAACAAGATATAATAGCAGGATATTCAATATTTCAATTCTAAATTATAATTGTAATATTTTGCAAATATAATTATAAAAAATATTTAATCTTTTGACACTCCAAGGTACATAAATAGCCGACAAAAAGTCGCGTCGTGACACCTTTTTTGACAAGGCGGATATGAGTGTACAGTACAAAAAAGTAATTAACTGTAATTTAAGTATTACTGAGTATTCTTAGGTTTTTTGATGTCGCTGATTACAAATCAGCATCAGCTTCTCCAATTTGATAACGATTCTAAAAAATAATTTTCTTAAATAGAAGTAGATGAAAAAGCAAATTGCCTGGGTCCGAGGGATCCAGCTCAGGCACGCAAGGGTTAACAAGATATACTTTGACATTTTTAATTCCTTTAACCCATAATTGTAAAATTCGAATTTTTTGTTTTCATGTACTAAAAATTCGTTTCACTTTAACGCGGTTTGCAATTCTCATAAACAATCGTTGCTCTGTCGGCATATTTATTATTTCATATGTACCTACATAATCGTTATCTATTTTTATTTTATACTTATTAATAATGTATAACATTTTTATTAAAACATATCCCTTAAGGGGTTTCCTAACTTTTTTAGGTCAAAAAAATCGTTTTTTTTATTTTCCCTGGCGGATTGTGGAAACCGAAAAGTTGACGAAGCTCGGTCAGGTTTCAGTTCGATTTGTGGCAATATGGCAGGGACCCAGTTCAACCTTTTCTGATTACTTACAGACCGATTATATACAATTAATTCTACAAAATAATTTATTAATGAAAATTTATTCTTATCTGACGGACTCTACACATAGTTACTGTATATTAATAAAACAAATGCTAAATATTCGAACCTTTAGAAACTGACTGTACACAAACATATTCTACAAAAACTTGCAAAAAAATGTGGCTACAAAAGAGCTTTCCTAAAATAAATAAAATTTTTATTTCTCTCCATAGACTGACTTTACAAAAGGATCTCTCCAAAATTAAATCAAATTTTTTCACTGTTTTCAATATAAAAAATAAAGGCGTTTGTATACCTCACCAATCCCGAGTATACTTGCGTCGTGTACCATTGGAGTATACTCGGAATCGGTGAGGTATACAAACGTTTTAAGGTGCATTTACACCTTCGGTAAAAAAATTTTTTTTTCTTCTTACGAAATTGTGTTCTAACGCCGCTTTTCCAATAGGATTGGAAAAATTGTTCCTATAGCGGGAAGTTTGAATGGTAGATTTCATTTAACGAAAAAAAAATTTAATTTTACAAAATTTATTTATAATAATCAAGTTAAGTTACTTGAGACTATTAGAAGCTTTTTTTTAGCGACACTACTCACTTACGGGGATTAAACGGTTATCATCTATATTGCATATGAGAGATTCTTTTTCAATCGCCCCAGCCCAAAAAGTCAATGTTCTGGGATTGGCTTCATACTTTGGTAAATTGTTGTCCTATATGATAGTAATAAATCCCTAAAATATAAACTCAATAAAAAAATATTTGTAGAAAGTAGAGGGGGTTGAAGTTTTGACGTTAAGGGTAACATTGTCATTTTCAAATCCGTATAACTATGACAAAAGTTAATGGATTTTAATTTATCTATAATGAATTTTATTGCATTTTTCACGTACTTTTCAAAAATCTATACGAAATTTAAAAAAAATAATTTTTAACCCCTTTTTTTTCAAAATCAACCCTTATTTTTCGATTTTCACCCCTTCGGGAATTTTTTTTTGTTTTTTTTTTATTTTCATTGGAAAGCTGAGGTTTTTTCCGATGAGCTATGTAAATATGAAAATGGGACAACAATAATTTTGTGAGAAACATAATATTAAATTAGGCGGTGCCTATCTAAATCCTCAAAGATGATCTCCAGGTACACCCCTTATCGGCACCGCCTACTTTAATATTCTGTTACTCACAAAATTATTGTTGTCCCATTTTCATATTTACATAGCTCATCGGAAAAAACCTCAGCTTTCCAATGAAAATAAAAAAAAAAAAAAAAAAAATACCCGAAGGGGTGAAAATCGAAAAATAAGGGTTGATTTTGAAAAAAAAGGGGTTAAAAATTATTTTTTTTAAATTTCGTATAGATTTTTGAAAAGTACGTGAAAAATGCAATAAAATTCATTATAGATAAATTAAAATCCATTAACTTTTGTCATAGTTATACGGATTTGAAAATGACAATGTTACCCTTAACGTCAAAACTTCAACCCCCTCTACTTTCTACAAATATTTTTTTAATGAGTTTATATTTTAGGGATTTATTACTATCATATAGGACAACAATTTACCAAAGTATGAAGCCAATCCCAGAACATTGACTTTTTGGGCTGGGGCGATTGAAAAAGAATCTCTCATATACAATAATAAAAAAAATTTCCCTCAACCCAAGTCTGTTTGGACAAATCGAGCGATCACGGATTGGGTCCTGAAAAGGGAAGTGGTATACCCTCACTCTATCGGCCTGTCCCGGGCTCAGACCTCGAGTAAGTCAATTACAGCGGGGGTCTGTGTGGCGTTCTCGGGCTTAATGACAATATTATTTTACGACGCTTAATGAGTTTTTTAATAAAATTATCAAATTCTTAAATATAAACATTGTTTAATTTATTTTGACATATTCGTTTTCCTCAGAAGTTCACGATTACGAGCATATATTGATCCAATAATAATAAATGTTAATATTGAAAAGTTTTATAATTTTAGTTCAATTCAATAAACTTACATGATGTGTTTTAAACCGATTTAATCCAAAGGTGCTGGCACCAAAAATTTTCTTCTTGCTTTTTATTCTCCAGTACATATAACCACATGGTGATTGTTCGGGCCGGGCTAGTAAATTGGGGGACACAACTTCGCCTTACAGGACAGTATTTAAAAGGTCATCGACCATCTTACGAACCCTCAACCGAAGGCTGTTTTGACAAAACAAATTTTAGGTAGAAACCCTTGAGAACCCTAATTATCAAAGCAAAGGTATATATGTATATATAATCTAATAATAATGTGAAAATTCAAGTGCTAAGAAAATGTGAATGAATGACGGAAGGAATGAATACAAAGATTATTATAAGATAATAATAATAATTGAATATTACGATAATACTAATAAAACTGAAAAAAACTTAAACTATTCAAACATTGTATCACTTCCGTGTATAAATAATTTTCAGGTACTTTAATTAGAATTTTTAATAAATATAATATTAAAGTTGGTTTTAAAACTATAAATAAATTTGAAAATAATTTACCCTTTGTAAACATTCAACAGAATTAAAACATCATTTTAATTTTTCATCTAACGAGGTTAAAATTTTAATCCCTGATAAAAATGTACGCAAACGAAAAATAATAGAAATGTATTATATCTTAAAAGAAAATAGTTCAATTAACTTTAAAACTGATGTTGAAAAGCTAAGTTATATTTATTTACAGGTAATCTCATAAAAAATATTTCGTAATATACGCTTTGTGAACCAACCTTTGTGAATATTAGACTCTCTATACGAGAGATTCTTTTTCAATCGCCCCAGCCCAAAAAGTCAATGTTCTGGGATTGGCTTCATACTTTGGTAAATTGTTGTCCTATATGATAGTAATAAATCCCTAAAATATAAACTCATTAAAAAAATATTTGTAGAAAGTAGAGGGGGTTGAAGTTTTGACGTTAAGGGTAACATTCTCATTTTCAAATCCGTAAAACTATGAAAAAAGTTAATTAATATCATAATAAATATAAAAAAAATTTAATACATATGTTAATAACTAAGTGAAACAGACGTGACTATGTCGGTATCTATTTTGTGTAAAATGTTTCTCAAATATTCATGTTTTGGAACAAATTTTAAAACCATTTATCCTTACAGAAATGTATCTGATGAGGACATTAAATTCTGTGTCGAAACGCGTCACAACAAACTTTCTTGCATTAAATAATTCTTGTCGGGGAAACTAAATTTCAAGTATCGAGTAGAGGCGAGCGGTGTCGGAAAGAAATACTGTCGTCTTCATATTCTATACCGAAAAACAAAGCGGCCATTTTTAATCTTCCAATAATATGAATGTAAAAATAAAAAATATTCAGTCCATCTTGAGTGACATTAAAACACAATCGGAAAATTTAAAAAGTCAGTATCCGAAAACAGTTGGCTTTATTTAGCTCCTTTTAGCATTTTTTAAGGAATCTGATCTCTATATATTGATAGTAAGTTTTTTTCTAAGCACTTAAATAACAATATTTTTTACTTATTGTATATTATTAATTGAAATTTCAGAATAAAGAAGCTACAAATGAGGAAATAAAGATAAAAATATAAAATTGGAAATTTAACATTACAGATCTGTCAATTTACCAGGGAAATTGTCAAACGTCTGTGGTGGTTGAAAATACCATTCTGGTTAAGTCGGACAGCCTGTTGGAAGGTTTACTTCTATTTTCTTTAAGCCATTATACGTATGGCTATAATTACGACGAAAAAAATCATTAACATTGGAGTTTATTCAAAGGTAATTACAAAAACATGTTTCAAATAGTAAAATTTGACTGATCTCAAAAACTTAAAGAA